CTGGATGGGTGTGTGTGGGGGTGTGTGTGTGGGGGTGGCTGGGTGGGGATGTGTGTGTGTGGGTGTGGGTGGGTGTGTGTGTGGGTGTGTGTGTGTGTGTGTGTGTGTGTATACATACACTACCAGTCAAGTTTTTGAACAGTAAGATTTTTAATGTTTTAAAAAAAAAAAAGAAGTCTCTTCTGTGCACCAAGCCTGCATTTATTTGATCCAAAATACAGCAAAAGCAGTAATATTGTGAAATATTTTTACTATTTAAAATATATATTAATATATTCTTTAAGCTTTCAGTTTGAATATATATTAAAATGTAATTTATTCCTGTGATCAAAACTGCACTTTCAGCATCATTACTCCAGTCTTCACTCTTCAGTGTCACTTGATCCTTCAGAAATCATTCTAATATTCTGATTTGCTGCTCAAGAAACATTTCTGATTATTAATAATAATATTTAAAACAGTTGAGTACATTTTTTCAGGATTATTTGATGAATAGAAAGATCCAAAGATCAGCTAATTAGCATCAGCATTTATTAATAATAGAAATTAATACTTTTATTTAGCAAGGATGCTTTAAATTGATCAAAAGTGATGATAAAGACATTTATAATGTTACATTTCAGATAAATGCTGTTCTTCTGAAACCTAAAAAAATTCTACTCAGCTGGTTTCAACATAATACTAAATGTTTTTTTATATATATATATATATATATATACATACACACACACACACACACACATATGCAGTCTTCAGTGTCACATGATCCTTCAGACATCATTCTGATATGATACATATCCAAAAGAATAAATAAAGACAGACAGGAGTTTGATTATAACAGTCTATTTATGGAAACACACTTCCGTAATAGAGTGCAACAAAGTAACAAAGTTTGAGAATAGGTAGATCATCCCCTCCACCACTTACATAAATACAGCCTGATACATAAATAAATAGCTAGCACGCTAGCACCGAGGGTCTGATATACATAGAGAATCACACTTTAAGTGCAAAAGTCTATTTTGATTGCCTTCATTGAACAGGATCGATAGAGTACCTACAATAACATTTGTAAATGAAAAATAACAGCATGTTGTATAACAAATAACTCTGAGCTACTGTCAGAAATCTCTGAGCGAGATGGTTAGGTTTCATTTTTTTAACCATGCAGCAAATAATCCAGGTAAAGTGATATTATAATGCAATAGTTGAGCAGCACAATACCGAAGTTGCATTTCATAAATGTGCTACTTTGTCAGTCTTACACACACAATTTTTGGATATGAATGCACAATTCAAGTCCTAATTTAGTGCTTTATACGTTCAAAATGTTAACAAAACGTGGAACGATATTGATGAACAAACATAATATCATGACAGACATATAGATAAGGAAGCACTGGATTTGATAGTGACACGAGAAACATCACAAACTATTTTTGGTGTGGGTTGGTCACTTCAACATTTCACTTCATCAATTAAACGATTAAAAAATTGGGAAAATAAGACATCTCAAAAGTGAAACATTTACACATACAATATAGTGATATTATAAACCAGCATATTGGCACCACTGGTTAATTATTGTGCATATTAACCTATGGCTAAGTGTTATTAAAGAATTAATAGGTGTTGCAAAAATGCAGTAAAACGTGGTTTGCATTTGGTTGAAATCTTTGCATGACTTCATGGTTTCAAAAACTAAAAATGACTTAAAACTAGAACGGGTTGTAAGGGAGGTAGATCAAACGACAAATCAGAAATCAAAACAAACAATTAGTTTGGTTTACATGTAAATGTGAACACAGAATATGTAAGAGCTATATGCTTATGTTGCATATTTGAAACCAGACCAGTCAGTTATACGATATGTTTAAGGTGTTTTCCATATTTTATATATAAAAAGCTACTATTTATGAGTTTGTTTTACCTGTAGTAAGCTGTGCAACAATAAGCCTTATCATAAACCGCCTACAATTGATTGATACATCTAAAATACTACAGATATATTTGGTTGAAATATTTGATTGACTGAAATGTCGACTTCATTATTTGAGACAGACACAACATGAACCGTATACATTCGGTAAAATCGAACAAAAGTTCAACTCAAAGCATAAATAAAACCAAAAGCAACAAGTTTGGTTTGACAAACGGCATTTTCCAATATTTGGATTCTCTACACTAAGCTTTCGCTATTTTTGGCCACGACTACAGACCCTGGATGTGCACTAGTGCATGAGAGTAAAGCTCAAAGAGAAGGGGTGGGCAAACCAAGTGCTAGTATTGCATACGGTTTCACAGGAGCGTGAAACGAAAAGGGGGGGTCGGGGTAAGGGAGAGCTGTGAATAGCTGGCTGGTGAGTGGTGAGGTTGCCGGGCAGGGAGAGATGTAATTGGTTATCTCACACTTTGGGACATGTGCAGTGGAGTCAGCATCTCCTCAAAGATGGCTCCTTTCACATTTGAACCACGCAGGTTGGCTTCCTGTAGATCGCAGCCTGAGAGATCGCAGTTCTGCACATACATGAAAGAAAACATTTGTCATTTTTTTCAGGGTTATAATATCAGGAATGTGGCTAGATGCCACAAAATCAACACCGTTGTCTCACTTCAAGATCTGTGCCGGCTAATGTAGCACCACGCAGGTTACAGTTCTTCAGCTTAGCATTCTTCAGCGTCGCCACACGCAGGTTTATGCCAGTCATCTGACTGCCCTCCATGTCAACTCCTTTCAGATTAGCCCCTAAAGCACACAGAGAATACACTAATTAACCAACTGCAAAACAAAAAACATGATAATGCAACATTAATGTGGCATCATTTTCATTAGCAATGACTAGCGTTGTCACAATACCAAAATGTCAGTAGTCGGTACAAATACCAGTAAAATTTCACAGCTCTCTATTCTAATTTCGATACCATAGAAAACAACTATTTTATTATTTTAAAATTTAACTATTTGGAAATAAAAAAAATAAAAAAGTTAATTATATAAATATAAGTACATAATATGTTCCATTAGCATGTAGCCTTCAAATATTGTTCAATTATGTAGACATTGCATTAAAAAGATCAAATTAAAGTAATAAAACAACAAAGAAAGTGGCAGGCATTTGCTGCACTGCAAGATTTAATGCACGGATCTATTTTGACAAACTATGTCAAACATCACAATTTCAGATTCAGTCCCGCATTTTTAAATGGCCAACACTCCTGAAGCTTTACAGCGGGTGCTTAACAGCATGAAAAATACAACTTTTATTCAAATTAAGATTGGGTTATGATTATTTATTATTCAAATTATGATTATTGTTTTGCTTGTTTTGCTCGCTGCGACTCTCTGATTGGTGAACTCTTCTTTACAAAATCATGATCGTGTAGTTTTTGATGTAGTTCATGATGATTGAAAACATCAAAAGCATGTACCTTCGATTAACAACCTCGGAGCTCACAGTAGGTCTGTCGTTAATGGTTTATCCAATTTCATTAAAAATCCATTTCTCTATGGAGAAAATTAATGGTGTTTTTTCTTCCTGAGGCAGGCATGCAGAGCTCTTACTGAAAATATCTGGTGTATTGAGTGGATACTGACTTAAATGCCTCTGACTGGCCATTGCATTCACTCGCTCAACAAACATGTCTGTGATTGGCTACATTACTCAAGTTGCAAGTCCAAGGGATGAAGTTGGCATTAGGGGCACGGCACTGGATTAGTTTTCATCATACCTCTCTGATAGATCAGTTAAGGTGATGATTGGAAACTCTTCCTCTCCTTCTGCACCGCTTATCTGTGGGGTACCTCAGGGGTCCCTCTTAGGGCCTATTTTATTTTGTTTGTATATGCTCCCCTTGGGTTCGATCATGTGGAAATATAATATTTTATACCATTGTTATGCTGACGATACTCAGATCTATATTCCTCTTAGCTCTGATCACTCTTATTCTGACCTTTTAAATTGCTTTGAAGATATTAAATGTTGGACTGGTAGAAACTTTCTCCAATTAAATAAGAGCAAAACTGAGATTGTTGTCTTTGGACCCCCAGGTGCTGTCTCTGATATCACTAATAATTTAGATTCTTGGTCATCAAATATTCATCCTTTTGCTAAAAACTTAGGTGTGATTTTTGACACTGATCTGAACTTTGAAAAACAGATAAGTGCTGTGGTGAAGAGCAGCTTCTTTCAACTAAGGCAAATAGCCAAATTAAAATCTATGCTCTCGTTTAAGGATTTGGAGATAGTTACTCATGCCTTCATCACTTCCAGACTTGATTATTGCAATGCGCTTTATATGGGTTTCAATCAGTCATCGCTGAATCGTTTGCAGTTGGTCCAGAACGCAGCCGGAAGGCTGCTGACGGGTACTAAGAGGAGAGAAAGCACTTCTCCAGTCTTAGCATCTCTTCATTGGTTACCGGTGCAGCATAGGATCCATTTTATAAAGCAATAAATGGTATAAATGGTCTAGCCCCATCATACTTGTATGAACTTCTCAGCTATCAGCAATCCTCGCACTCTCTCAGATCCTCAGATAAACTTTTCTTGCTTATACCTCGATCTCGCTTGAAATCGAAGGGAGATCAGGCTTTTTCTGTCGCGGTCCTAGACTATGGAACAGCATGCCTCTGGACATTAGATTTGCGCCTTCCCTTCCCGTTTTTAAATCCCGCCTGAAGACTTATCTGTACTCCTTGGCTTTTGGATCAAATGTATGTATATTTTAATGTGTTTTTGTGTCTTTTCTATTATTCTCTTAATCTGTATATTTACTCTATTTGTATATGTACAGCACTTTGGTATAAACTAGCTGATTTTAAATGTGCTATAGAAATAAACTGATCTTGACATCAAAGTTGTAAAGACTTGTTGTAAATAGAAACTGTTGATGCTCTTCACAGACAGCTTAGCTGCTACCAGATCAACGCTGTACTTGGTACAACCAGTATTGCAGGAAGGCTGGTATTGCGAAGTTTTAAAAATGTAAGTATCGACATGGTACTTTTGACAATGCTAGCAATGACTAATGTATGTCATTTTATTTCTAAAGCTAAACAATGGCTTCTGTGTGCAGTTTTACCCTCTAGATTGTGTCACATGATCCTTCAGACATCATTCTGATATGATACATATCCAAAAGAATAAATAAAGACAGACAGGAGTTTGATTATAACAGTCTATTTATGGAAACACACTTCCGTAATAGAGTGCAACAAAGTTTGGTAAAGAGAGAATAGGTAGATCATCCCCTCCACCACTTACATAAATACAGCCTGATACATAAATAAATAGCTAGCACCCTTTCCACGAGGGTCTGATATACATAGAGAATCACACTTTAAGTGCAAAAGTCTATTTTGATTGCCTTCATTGAACAGGATCGATAGAGTACCTACAATAACATTTGTAAATGAAAAATAACAGCATGTTGTATAACAAATATCTCTGAGCCACTGTCAGAAATCTCTGACTGAGATGGTTAGTTTTTGATATTTTTTTTTAACCATGCAGCAAATAATCCAGGTCAGCTGATATTATAATGCAATAATTTAGCAGCACTTAGACCTAAGTTGCATTTCATAAATGTGCTACTTTGTCAGTCTTACACACACAATTTTTGGATATGAATGCACAATTCAAGTCCTAATTTAGTGCTTTATACGTTCAAAATGTTAACAAAACGTGGAACGATATTGATGAACAAACATAATATCATGACAGACATATAGATAAGGAAGCACTGGATTTGATAGTGACACGAGAAACATCACAAACTATTTTTGGTGTGGGTTGGTCACTTCAACATTTCACTTCATCAATTAAACGATTAAAAAATTGGGAAAATAAGACATCTCAAAAGTGAAACATTTACACATACAATATAGTGATATTATAAACCAGCATATTGGCACCACTGGTTAATTATTGTGCATATTAACCTATGGCTAAGTGTTATTAAAGAATTAATAGGTGTTGCAAAAATGCAGTAAAACGTGGTTTGCATTTGGTTGAAATCTTTGCATGACTTCATGGTTTCAAAAACTAAAAATGACTTAAAACTAGAACGGGTTGTAAGGGAGGTAGATCAAACGACAAATCAGAAATCAAAACAAACAATTAGTTTGGTTTACATGTAAATGTGAACACAGAATATGTAAGAGCTATATGCTTATGTTGCATATTTGAAACCAGACCAGTCAGTTATACGATATGTTTAAGGTGTTTTCCATATTTTATATATAAAAAGCTACTATTTATGAGTTTGTTTTACCTGTAGTAAGCTGTGCAACAATAAGCCTTATCATAAACCGCCTACAATTGATTGATACATCTAAAATACTACAGATATATTTGGTTGAAATATTTGATTGACTGAAATGTCGACTTCATTATTTGAGACAGACACAACATGAACCGTATACATTCGGTAAAATCGAACAAAAGTTCAACTCAAAGCATAAATAAAACCAAAAGCAACAAGTTTGGTTTGACAAATGGCATTTTCCAATATTTGGATTCTCTACACTAAGCTTTCGCTATTTTTGGCCACGACTACAGACCCTGGATGTGCACTAGTGCATGAGAGTAAAGCTCAAAGAGAAGGGGTGGGCAAACCAAGTGCTAGTATTGCATACGGTTTCACAGGAGCGTGAAACGAAAAGGGGGGGTCGGGGTAAGGGAGAGCTGTGAATAGCTGGCTGGTGAGTGGTGAGGTTGCCGGGCAGGGAGAGATGTAATTGGTTATCTCACACTTTGGGACATGTGCAGTGGAGTCAGCATCTCCTCAAAGATGGCTCCTTTCACATTTGAACCACGCAGGTTGGCTTCCTGTAGATCGCAGCCTGAGAGATCGCAGTTCTGCACATACATGAAAGAAAACATTTGTCATTTTTTTCAGGGTTATAATATCAGGAATGTGGCTAGATGCCACAAAATCAACACCGTTGTCTCACTTCAAGATCTGTGCCGGCTAATGTAGCACCACGCAGGTTACAGTTCTTCAGCTTAGCATTCTTCAGCGTCGCCACACGCAGGTTTATGCCAGTCATCTGACTGCCCTCCATGTCAACTCCTTTCAGATTAGCCCCTAAAGCACACAGAGAATACACTAATTAACCAACTGTAAAACAAAAAACATGATAATGCAACATTAATGTGGCATCATTTTCATTAGCAATGACTAGCGTTGTCACAATACCAAAATGTCAGTAGTCGGTACAAATACCAGTAAAATTCCACAGCTCTCTATTCTAATTTCGATACCATAGAAAACAACTATTTTATTATTTTTTAATTTAACTATTTGGAAATAAAAAAAATAAAAAAGTTAATTATATAAATATAAGTACATAATATGTTCCATTAGCATGTAGCCTTCAAATATTGTTCAATTATGTAGACATTGCATTAAAAAGATCAAATTAAAGTAATAAAACAACAAAGAAAGTGGCAGGCATTTGCTGCACTGCAAGATTTAATGCACGGATCTATTTTGACAAACTATGTCAAACATCACAATTTCAGATTCAGTCCCGCATTTTTAAATGGCCAACACTCCTGAAGCTTTACAGCGGGTGCTTAACAGCATGAAAAATACAACTTTTATTCAAATTAAGATTGGGTTATGATTATTTATTATTCAAATTATGATTATTGTTTTGCTTGTTTTGCTCGCTGCGACTCTCTGATTGGTGAACTCTTCTTTACAAAATCATGATCGTGTAGTTTTTGATGTAGTTCATG